TAAAGGGGGGGGGGGGGGTAAATACGCGCCGCGATATTTACATTAGAAAAATTGAATCGTAATGTAATACGAAACTACTTGTCGAGAAAGAGCTAAACTATGTAATCATAACTCCAAAAAGACGTCGAAATAAACAGCTTTTCAATGTAAATATGCTTAAAGCATATCACGAAAGAAAGAAAGTAGTACAGCTTGTAAACGTAGTTTGTTCAGTCACAATAATAAGGATGAATCTGAACTCTCTAGTTTGTCTAAGGCAAAAAAAATTGAGCAACTCCGACGTTTTACGAAATATGGATTCGAAGTTATCTCATCTTCAACCATCTCAACGTCAGTACGTATTAGACCTTGTTAATGAATATGCACAATTATTCCCTGACGTTCCTTCTCGAACCAAAATAATTTCCCACGACGTTGATATTGGCGACGCTTCCCCTATAAAACAACTCCCTTGCCGATTGAACAAAACGAAAGCAAAATACCTTGACCAAGAGATCCAATACCTCCGAACACAGTCAAATTAGTTGGAGTTCATTCTGTATATTAGTTCCGAAACCAGACGGTAGTTATCGGATGTGTACGGACTGTCGTAAAGTAAACAACCTCACGAAGTCGGATAATTTTCCCATTCTTCCGATGGATGATTGCGTGGATAAAATTGGAAATACTAAGTATGTGGCGATGTTTGATTTACTGAAAGGACTCTGGCAAATCCCTTTATGCGAACGTGCCAAAGAGGTTTCAGCATTCGCAACACCACGTGTATTATCTCAATACAAATTGATGCCATTTGGAATGCGGAATTTCCCTGCCACCTTCCAACGCCTTATCAACCGGACAATTTCCCAGATCGACGGTTGCGAAGGTTATATTGATGAGGTGATTATTTTTTATAATGACACCTGGGAAGAGCATCTGGAAATATTACGCAAGTTTTTCAAACGGTTAAGCGAAGCCAAGTTAACCATAAATTTAGTAAAAAGTGAATTCGATTGTGGTCATGTTACATACTTGGGCCATATCGTTGGCCAGGGACAAGTCAAACCCGTCAACGCCAAAGTCGAGACGATTGCAGATTTCCCACAGCCAACAACGAAGAAACTCGTCATGCGACTGCTCAGAATGGCGGGTTATTATTAAGATGTACTGTATATATATATATATATATATATATATATATATATATATATATATATATATATATATATATATATATATATATATATATATATATATATATAAAACTACATACTAATAGCTGTTATGCAAAATTGAGAACAATTTCAAATCTGTTCAGTTTTTTTATACACCCTGTATAGTAATTGACACGGAGACATGCATGGCATCAACAGGTCCGGCAACTGTCAACTATGACTATAGTATGGCGATTTAAATAAGCGATGCTTTGCATGCTATTTCATCGATAAATTAAATGTACTTTATATTAGTTTGGTTTTGTGGAAACACCACATAAATTTATCACTGCAAAGCTTTCGATCCGTAAGCCCGGATCTTCATCAGTGTTAATAATTACAGTTTACAGGGTGCATAAAAAACCCGCAAACTCGGAATTTCCCAAGAAATCGACGTTGTATGAAGACAAAAGATTTTAGGTGCCTGGGAATACAAAATAGCACAACTGTCAAAATTACTGCACACGCGAGTGCGTAAAGCAAAATTTATGCAAATATTTAATGACACTTAATGAGTTTTTATTTTGCAAGTACAGTACAACAACAGTAATATGATCTACAAGGTGTCCTCCAAAAAAACGAAAACTATTGAAACTAGAGGGCACTCAGAGACTGCATACCTCCGCCCCCATTGAATTTTGGTCGTGTGAAATGCAACTAAGACAATATATAACTAGAGGGCACTCAGAGACTGCATACCTCCGCCCGTTACTCGGAAGTGAAACGCAACCTTGGAATTTCCTAAGAAATCCACTTTATAATTCTTAAGCATAAAAGATTTCAGGCCCCCGCGAATTGAAATCGAATTGCTAATAGAACATATTATTGTTGTTGTACTGTACAGTACTTGTAAAATAAAAACTTTTTAAGTGTCATTAAATAAATGCACAAATTTTGCTTTATGCACTCGCGCGTGCAGTAATTTTCACAGTTGTGCTATTTTAAATTCCCAGGCAGCTAAAATCTTTTGTCTTTAAAACAATGTCGATTTCTTGGGAAATTCCGAGGTTGCCTTCTTTTTATACACCCTGTATTGAAGTAATCTAATGTTGTTAGAATTTGAATGGACTGGCACTTTGCTGAACGTAATAATGCGTAACTCCGTAAGCCTTGTTTTAGACATTGAATTTCGGTCGCGGGAAATGCAACTAAGACAATAGATAATGAAGGCCGAAGCTTAATGAGGTTTATCATCTCATTATTGTCTTAGCACTGAGTGCATAAATTATACACGTCCTAATTACGCATTCAGTAATATATTTTGTTAATTGACCGGGAAAAGCAAGACAAAATTTGGTTCATTTCTCGTTCAATTTTTAACCAAATTCAACCAAATTTTAATCAGTTCTTCCTTAGCCGATGGGAAATGCATTAAAAAAATTTCGTACGGATATGTTTGGTATTTCTTGAGTTATCGTGCTCACAGACAAACACACACACATACACACACACACACATACACACACACACATACACACACACATACACACACACACACACACACACACACACACACACACACACACACACACACATACAAACCCAGATGATTACATAACCTCCTGGCGGAGGTAATGAA